CCGGGAGCGGCCATCGCACTCCAGTCTGGGCGACAGAGTGAGACTCCAACTCAAAAAAAATAAAAATAAAAACATGTAACCTGGCCGGGCTCGGTGGCTCAACCTGTAATTCCGCGCTTTGGGAGGCCGAGGTGAGTGAATTGCCTGAGCCCGTGGGTTAGAGACCCGCCTGGGTAATTTGGCGAGACCTCATCTCTACACTAAATCAAAAAAATTAGCCGGGCATGGTAGCGTGCACCTATAGTTCCAGCTACTTGGAAGGCTAAGGCGGAAGGATCATCAGAGCCCAGCAGGTCAAGGCTGTGGTGGTTGGGAGCGGCCACTGCACTCCAGTCTGGGGGACAGAGTGAGACTCCGACTCAAAAAAACAAAAACAAAAACAAAAAACATGTAACTGGGTCAGCTCGGTGGCTCAGCCTGTAATCCCAGCACTTTGGGAGGTCAAGGCGAGTGGATTGCCTGAGCCTGTAGGTTCGAGACCAGCCTGGGCAACTTGGCGAGACCTCGTTTCTACAATAAATCAAAAAAATTAGCAGGGCACAGTGGTGTGCACCTGTAGTTCCGGTTACTTGGAAAGCTGAGGCGGAAGGCTCTTTGAAGCCCAGCAGGTTGACACTGGGATGGCCATGTGCGTGCCACTGCACTCCAGCATGGGCGAGTGAGACTCCAACTAAAAAAAAAAAAATTCTTTTTTTTTTTTTCATTCAGAGACAGGGTCTTGCTCTGTTGTCCAGGTTGGAGTGCAGTGGCACAATCTTGGCTCTCTGTAGCCTTGAATACCCAGGCTCAAGCAATCCTCCTGCCTCAGTTCTTCAAGTAGCTAGGACTATAGGTATGCACCACCATGTCTGGGTAACTTTTTTATCCTTTGTAGAGACAAGATCTCGCTATGTCACCCAAGCTGGTCTCAAACTCCTGGGTTCAAGCAATCCTCCCACCTCAGCCTCCCAAAGTGCTGGGATTGCAGGTGTAAGCCACTATGCCCAGCATGCCTACCTAATTTTTTAAACATTTTTTTTTTGTACAGATGGGGTCTCCCTATGTTGCCCAAGCTGGCTTCGGCCTCCCAAAGTGCTGGGATTAAAGACATCAGCTACTGCAACTCATCTCCTATTTTGACTTCATATCACCATTGATTAGCTTGCCTATCCTTGAACTTCCTACAGTGGTACTCTTTGTGTCTGGCTTATTTTGCTCAATATACTGTCTGTGCAGTTTATTCATGTTTTGCATCTAGTGAAAAGTTCATTTTTTATCACTGTTATGTAGTATTCCATCATACAAATACACCACAAGTTATCTACCAGCTTCCTATTGATAGACAACAAAGGTGTTTCCAGATTTCAGTGATCACGCACACAACTGCCGTGAGTGTCCTGTGTGTTTTGTGGTGGCTGCATGCACTCATTTCTCTGGGCATGGGCCTAGGAGGGGACTGCTGAGGCGGAAGGAAGGCACACATTTGGGGCTGCTATGTGTACAACCAGGCAGCGATTCCAGGCACCTTCTCTGGGGAACAACCCGCCCCCACCCGGCACTTACTGAGTCTGCACACATCTGCAGTCTCTTGGCTTTTCAGGAGCTAGCTAGTCTCTCCAGTTAGGATGCACAATCCTTCAGGGCAGGCACCCATGCTGACTCCTTCCTCTGAGCCCCCATCCTTCCTCCAGGAAAGCCACTTCCAGCAGAGCGAGCTCAGTAAAGGCTGCCGATGATCCAGCCTAGTCAACTCCCATGTCTGGATAAAGAACACCAGAGGGACCCCCGAAGTCTTGTACTATTGTGAAAAATGAGTAGACTCTGTTTGTTGAGGAGATGAAGCCCTGGTCATTTTGCACTGTGGTCACTGTTAGCCAGTTGCTTCCTAGGATGGGTGGGAAACCCTGTAGCGATATCGCCTCTGTGCACTTATGGCCACGTGTCTCCTGGCCCTCCAGGCAACCAACGCCGCTCCACTTGCCCCCAGCCTCCTTTTTTTGAGTTTCCAGCAGTCTGGCAGAAATGTTTTCCAGAGCAAGAAGCTTACCTGAGCATAGCATTGGACTCTCTAACCACCTGGGCTATCTGAAACTTCTGAATCTTCTGCTGACACAGGAGATTGTGTGCTTTGGTCCACCTAGAAGCAAACACCCCACAAAATCCCAAAGTCAAATCACTCAGGCAAGTAAAGCGTCCTTTCCCTCTATAGACCCAAGCCCCCTCTGACAGCACTGCTCACAGAGGCCTCATCCTCCCACAGAGCCACTCCCTGGAGGATGCTGGCTGTCCTTAAAAGGATGAGGGTGAGGGTGATGCCAGGCGTGATGGCTCAAGCCTGTAATCCCAGCACTTTGGGAGGTGGAGGCGAGAAGATTGTCTGAGCGCAGGGGTTTGAGACTAGCCTGAACAACATGGCGAGACCTCGTCTCTACAATAAATCAAAAAATTAGCCAGACAAGCCGGGCTCGGTGGCTCAGCCTGTAATCCTGCACCTTTGGGAGGTTGAGGTAGTGGACTGCCTGAACCCGTGGGTTCGAGACCTGCCTGGGCAACTTGGCGAGACCTCATCGCTACAATAAATAAAAAAATTAGCCGGGTGTGGTAGCGTGCGCCTGTAGTTCCAG